TCTTTAGGTTCAAAATGGGTCTCTTGTAGACAACATATGGATGGGTCCTGTCGTGTTATCCAATCTGCAACCCTGTGCCGTTTTATGGGCACTTTTATTTTGTTCACATTGAGAGTGATTATTGAGAGATACGTTTTTATTGACATCATGTTGCCTGTGAAGTCCCTGTTTCTATAGATTGTCTCCATAAATTTCTGTTTAATGACACTCTTGGTTTCTTTCTTCTTTTATTGAAGCCCTCTTAATATGTTTTGTAGTGCCGGCTTGGTGGTCACATACTCTTTTATACCTTGCTGGTCATGGAAGGTCTTTATCTCTCCATCCATTTTGAATGTCAGTCTTGCTGGATAAAATATTCTTGGCTGCATGTTCTTCTCATTTAGTGCCCTGAATACATCTTGCCAGCCCTTTCTGGCTTGCCACGTTTTTGTAGACAGGCCTGATGTTATTCTGATGGGCCTTCCTCTGTACATAGGAATCCCTTCCCCAGCTGCTCTCAAGAGCTCCTGTCTAAAATTTCAGTTCATCATTTTCACGATCAGGTGTCTAGAGGTTTTTCTAGATTCTCTGATCTTGGGGGGAAACCTTTCTTCCTCTAGGACATGAACTCTGGTTTCATTCCCCAGATTCAGAAAATTTTCTTGGAGAATTTGTTCAACTATATCCTCTGGTCTTCTTTCTTTCTCCTCCCCCTCAGGGATTTCAATAATTCTGACATTCTAACATTTCATGGTATCATTTATTTCCCTAATTCTCTTATCATGGCTTCTAAGCTGTTTGTTCCTGGCCTCCTCTTGATCCTTTTTCTCTATCAGTTTGTCTTGTAGATCACTAACTCTGATTCTGCCTCTGTTACCCTAGTTGCTAGAGAATTTAGATTAGATTGGAACTCATTAATAGCATTGTTAACATCTTCCCTGGTCGCTTTCACTTGTGCCCTAATCAATTCCATGTTGTCATTAGTGATTTTCCCCAACCTAGCCATTGCCTGAATAATTGTTAGCCTGAATTCCCTTTCCAACATATGGTTTATGTCCATATCCAATAGCTCTGATGGAGAGGGAGCAGTCTCTGAATTTTTCCTCTGTTGGACATTTCTCTTCCTAGTCATTTTGGTGAGAAATGTCTGAGGGGATGTGTAGCTGAATGTATCAACCGTGATCCAGGCAAGATGCACCCTGGAATGCTTCTTAGCAATTGTGAGTTCCCACCAGAAATAAAGAAAAAAGAAAAAAAGAGAGAGAAAGAGGCAAGGAAAAAAAAAAGCGAAGACCCAGTGCGAATGGGTCCAAATGTAAGATTTATAAGGTATACAAACAAAAAGAGACAAACAGAAACCCAACAGAAGTAGATGAGAAAAAAAAAAGAACCCAGACAAAATGAATCCCAAGTATAAGATTTATATACTACCAGAACAAAAACAAATACAGAGAAACACTGACAGAAGAAAAAAATGGGAGGGTGGTTATAAATTATCAGTGTGGGCAAAGAAGTTTATTTTGATTCTCTCTGGGTGTATCTTGATATGTTTGTTAAATGACTTAACTTTCCCGTGATGAAGCAGGATTAAAACTGCTTTATATATAGGGGTTGTATTAATTGGGGCAAGAAGATTACCTTGAAGCTCATCTCTATATGAATATTAAAAAAAATAGAAAGACAAGAAAACAAAGAGGTATATGTAGCAAATTTTGATTTAAAAGGTTATTATAGAATTTGTTATATTGAAACTCTCATTGTGATGGTATAGGTTAAAAAATTATAAAAAAAAATTAAAGAGAATGAGAATAGTGGGAATGAATTTAAAAAAATGAATGTTGGGGGCACCTGGGTAGGCTCAGTGGGCTAAAGTCTCTGCCTTCGGCTTGGGCCATGATTCCAGGGTCCTGGGATCGAGCCCCACATCGGGCTGTCTGCTTAGCAGGGAGTGTGCTTCCTCCTCTCTCTCTCTCTCTGCCTGCCTCTCTGTCTACTTGTGATCTCTATCTGTCAAATAAATAAATAAAATCTTTAAAAAAATATAAAAGCTGTATCTATGAAGTATACACATTTTACGGCAATACCAGGAGCTTAATATCTCCTTTCCCCCTGATATTGAGGTTTTGCAGTTTTAGGGGATCCTGTGGTGGTTGCCCTCTTGTTTTTTTTTTTTTGGGGGGGGGTGCCGTTTTTCTGGGGGCGGGCTCTGCCATGTGGATTTCAGACAATCTTGAGAGAGTTGAGTCCTCCTGCCCCTTTTTTAGGGGATGGACTCTAAGGAAACTGGTTTTTCAGGCTTTTGTTCTCTGGAGGGTTTTTTTGTTGTTGTTGTTGTTTGTTTGTTTGTTTGTTTGTTTTTTCCCCTTGGCAGCTTTTGGCCATTCTTCGGAGGTTTAAAGGAAAGCAAACTGCACCCAGAACTCTGTCTCAGAAAGAAGCTTCTGTCTATTCCCCTCTGGGTGCTCCATAGAACATAAACTACCCCTCTGCCACCACCCAATGGCAAAGCACATACCCAGCCACAGTCTCAGGGGTCGCAGGAGCTCCCGCGTGTAACCTGGTGCTACTAAACGCAGGAGCAATATTAGTCCAGAGAGTTGGCTTCCAGTAGCTGCCTTTGCTGAGGCTGTCTGGGCAGGTCCAGACCACTGGAGAGATTCCAAGTAGAGATAGCTCACTGAGATTTTCCTGTCAGCCTGGGCTGGAAGTGTTCAGACTCTCACCTGTTGTAGAGAGCACCAGCTAGAGCCTGCATGGACCCCTCTCAGCGGAGGGTGTGGAGTGCCACTCAGACCCAGGTCTCACAGCGAGCATGCCAAGTGCAAAAAGCTATGGTTCTAGAGAGCACCAGCTGGCCAGAATCTCTAACGCGCACTGCCACCCAGCTGCTCTCACATGCGCTGGTGGCTCAGGGATCACGGCCTGGATGCTTTCCCACACTCTCCCTGGCAGATCGCCAGTGGTGGCTACCCTGAGTCTATGGGCTTAAGCCCCTAACTGCCCGATTCTACCAACTTCTACTTAAGATCTTTTGCTTTTTTTGAGTGTTTTTAACAAGACTCCAAGTTAATGCTGGTTCCCAATCACAGGGCACTATTGTACTGGGGTATTACTTTCCAATGAGTCGCTTCTGGTGGCTCCCTCCCCCTTTTGTTTATTTTCCAGTATCAGTCCAACATTCCCACTCAGCTTTACCTGTCCACTGGTGTCTTCTGCCCCCATTGAGATCCAGAAGTGTATAATCCTACATCTCAGGCTGATTTCATGTGTGTTCAGAGTGTTCTGGTAGATGATCAGCTCACTTTAGGGGACCAGTTGAAATGTGCCTCCTACTTTTCCTCCATCTTGTCCCCCCAGAAATCTATAACACACTCAATCTTTATGATTGAAGACATCATAAACAAACTTAGAAAAAAATTTATATACAATGTGATAACACTTCAAAAACATATTGTGGATATATTATTAGTTTCCAAAATGTACAAAACACTAAAAAATAATATGAAAACACAAATAACTTGGGGCACCTGGGTGGCCCAGTAGGTTAAGTCTCTGCCTTCGGCTCAGGTCATGATCCCAGTGTCCTAGGCTAGAGCCCTGTATCGGGCTCTCTGCCCCCTGGGGGGACCTGCTTCCCTCTTTCTCTTTGCCTGCCTCTCTGCCTACTTGTGATTTCTCTCTATCAAATAAATAAATAAAATCTTTTAAAAAACCCCACAAATAACTCAATAGAAAAATGGTCAGAGAGTTCTTAGCAGTAAAAATATGAATATCCAATAATAAATTAAGTTTATTTCATTTCTATCATGGATATATATAATTCAATATGTGTACCACTTTTAAACAATCATACTTCCAATAATCAAAAGTCTTCATAATGTTCAGTTTTAAGAGTGTTGTGAAATGTACATTGTCTATAAGAGTGTATGTGTATGTGTATGCTCTTTAATACATATTTTATTTATGAAAACTATGAAAATACCCCTGCATGTGAATAAACACACATCATTGTTTGGAATAAAGAAAAGTTGTATGTATTCTAAGTGCTTTTTAAGAAAGGAATGACTAAATAAATTATTCTGTTATGCAATGTAATATCATGAGGCAGTTGAAATATTGAGAAAGTTATATTTTCATATAGAAAATCATTGTGATATTAAGTGGATCAAAACAATTAGAAGATTAGCATGTATGGTATGATTTAACTTATATTCAAAACCTCTTATCTAAAACTTTATATTTCTGTAAATACTGTTGCTGTGTATATTTAAATGCATAAAGAAAAGTCTACGAAGAACTTATACTTATGTTGCCTTCTGGAGATAGAAGGACTGAAGAAAGGGAGAAGATTTTTGGCAAGAGTTTTGTGTATGGTGTTTAGATTATATACAGTTCCATTACATTCATGTATCACTTATGTAAATAAATATGGGACATGTGGGTGGCTCAGTTAAATGTCTGCCTTCAGCTCAGGTCATTATCCTAGGGTCCTGGGATCGGGTCCCACATTGGGCTTCTTCCTTAGCTGGGAGCCTGCTTCTCCCTCTGCCACTCCTCCTGCTTGTGTTCTCTCTCTCTCTCTCTGACAAATAAATGAATGAAATCTTAAAAAATAAATACAGATTTTCTAAGGAACATAAGAAAGTGTTGAAGGTTAACAGGGTCAACATGGGGCTGGTTCATCAGTTAAGGAAGTCTAGAAAAATGAGAAACATAGAGAAATACATTCCAACACTTTTCTTAAGGGAAAACTTCTAGGGTGATGGAAAGATCTGGTCTGTGTGACAGATGAATCTTCACTGTGCAGTCAGACTCATCAGATATAAAGCAAGACGCCAGTTATCAGCATCCTATGACTACATTTTATGTTTATGAAGAAATGCTCAAATCACCCTGTTTTTCTTGTAACCCACCTCAAAGGGAAAGTGTTTTATCTTCTCAACAGTCATATATGACCTGTATGATAGTTGCATTTCTTACTATAAATTAATAAATTCTCCTTCTGTGTTTGTATCTTTCAGTCTTATGATATAATCAGCATAATTTCACCTCCTGAATTTGGATGAATTCTGGGATATAATCAAGATCAGGCAGTAGACGTCTAAGATTGAAGGCCATGGCCTGGATTATGGTGAACTCACTAAGGCAAATAACTCCTATAAGATGGTCCTGCAGCAGGCAATCAATGCTATCTTTTGTGATACCCAGTACTTGCTGTGTAACTTTGAATTCCTATAAATCCATTAAGGTACCAATAAATTTTGTTTCTCATTGTTCTGTTAGTTCTGTATGACTACTATCTAGTAAACTGTAAGTTTTTAGTAAGTGTTTTATAATTACAAATACAAAATGTTACTAAAATTGTTGTCAAAATATAACTTCTTTCCCCTACAGATGACCATCTACTCATTTCCTGTAGGGTAAAAACACCAGGGAAATGTGTAAGGGATATGAAGTTTAAAATCTGAAAAATAATTAATTTTCCAGGATATTCTCCTCACTTTACTGTCAATATTTCTATTCTATCTATCTATTCTATGGTATTTCTTATTCTTCTACATGTTAAGTGTTTTCTTGGTTAAAATGGTTGATGTGCTTGCTTTTTGTAATATTCTACTTTACTTCTGAAATGCTCTATATTAAAAAGAAATAGGGAATCTCAGTTGGAAGCATTTATGAAAGTTACAACTTCTGGAGAAGATGGTGGGGTAGAAGGATCCTAGACTTACCTCATTCCATGGATACACCTAGAAAAAAAATCCATATCAGTATTTTTAATGCAGAAAATGACCCAAAGACTGGAAGAACATATTCTCCACAGCTCAATGTAATGAAGAGGTCATATTGAAAATGGAAGTAAGGGTGGAGATGTAGTTGGGAAACGAACTGGCCCACGGAACTCTCTGATGGACGGAGGATTCAAGCATTGAGAGGGGAGAGGAGGAGATCACACACAAGGCATGAAGATCCCTCACTATGAAGACAAATCCACATAACATTTGGCTTTGAAAACCAGAGTGACATAATTTCAGAAGTTCTTACTGTCAGTGGGAAACAACTCCTGGATCTTTAAAAATCAGCCAGCTTGGCTCTTGTAGAGTTGGGAGGCAACAGAAAATTGAGTTGCTGCCCTCAATGGGGAAACACAACAGTTTTGCTGAGATACAGTGGGGAAGCAGCAGTTTGAATAATACCTGTGGTATATGAAGAGATTTGTTTACTAATCTCAGAGTGTGTGCTGGAAGGGCAGGGATCTTCAGGAGTCTTTTAAGAACAAAAGAGCTGGTGGGCACCATTTCCATTCCTCACACTTCAGCCTAGATACACAGACACCCAAGTGAGCCAGGGCAGAGCAGACACTCTCCACCTAACTTGCTAAGAGAATACCATGCCCCCATGCTCTTTTGCAAATCTGTCCCCTCCAGCCCAGCCCCAGAATGTATTTTCCAGGGTGGCTGCAAGTTCTCACCTACAGTGGACCTGCATGGACCTTGATGGCACCATGTGCCTTGCCCAATATTCCCTTGAAGACCCAATCTATTCAACAAGCTGTTGACAACAGTCCATCAAATTGGCACCACAAGAATGGCAGTGTGCAAGGAGCCCCAACAGGGCAAGAACCATCCCAAAGTGGCTCCTGACCCAAGAAATGGGGAACAAACCCACACACATTAGTTTGACTGCATCCCCAATAGCTGGGATAGGGCAAACATATGTACTGGCTACAGGCCTTACCCAGCAATGAAAGCTTCTCAAAAGACAACGCAAAGAGAGCATCTGTAGTTGGGTGCCACTACAGCTCTGGCAAACACCACATCTAACAAGACCGAAGCTGCCTTAAACTGCTCCACTAACAACATAGGGAAAAACTCTGCCCATGACAGGCCAAGAGAGGCATTACAGATGGCTGCATTGAAGGCAAATGAGGCTTAGCCACAATAGTAGGGTACACACAATGTGCAAAGGAGACACCCCTGAAGTGCCAGGTTCTCATGAACAGATAACATTGCACTGAAGAGCACTACAGGACCTCTTCTTCATAAGGCCATTACTATCAAGACAGGAGACATAGCTGAAATTCTGCCATATAAAAACAGAGGGAGACAAAATGAGGAGATAGAGGAATATGTCCCAAATGGAAGAACAAGATAAAAATCAAAGCAGGAGAGCTTAAAAGAAAACCCTGAAATAAGTAATATGCCTGATAGAGAATTTAAGGTAATGGTCACAAAGATATTCAATGGGCTTGAGAAAGGAATAGAAGACTTCAGTGAGACCCTCAACAAAGAGAGAGAAAACATAAAAAAGAACCACCAGAAATTAAGAACTCAATAACTGAAATTTAAAGTACACTAGAAGGAATAAATAGTAGACAAGAGGAAGCAGAAGAGCAGGTCAGTGACTTGGAGGACAGAGTAATGGAAAACAATCAATCAGGGGACTCATTTACATAATAAAGGCTAACATTGACATTATAGCAATCCCAGAAGAAGAGATAGAAAAGGGGGCATAAAATCTATTTGAAGAAAACTGACATCCAGATCCAGGAGGAACAGAGACAACCCATCCCCCAACAAAATTGCCCAAGGATGTCAATGCCAAGAGAGATCATTTTTAAACTGGCAAAAAGTAGTGATAAAGAAAGAATTGTAAAGGGAGCAAAAGAAAACAGTTAAGTACAAGAGAAACCCCATAGGGTACCAGTGGATTTTTCAGGAGAAACTTTGCAGACCAGGAGAAAGTGGCATGATATAGTAAAAGTGCTGAAAGAAAAAACAAAAACAAAACTGGCAAACAGAATACTCTATCCAGCAAGGCTATCATTCAAAACAGAAGGAGAGATAAAGAAAAAAATTTCCTAGACAAAGTAAAAGGAATTTATCACCACTAAACCAGCCTTACAAAAATTTTTAAAGAGGACTTTGAAGGGAAAGGAAAATTGATAAGTAGAAATTAAAAAAAAATAAGCACATCAATAAAATTAAGTATATCTATAAATAATCTGTTAATGCATTCATGGTGTAAAGATGTTAAAATGAAAACATACATAAAATGTAGGGGACAGTGTTAAATATTTAGTACATTTAGAATAGTTCAAACTTAAGTGGCCATCAATTTAATATAGATTACTATATGCATGGAATGTGATATATAAAACTAATGGTAACCACAAATCAAAAGCTTGTCAAAAAATAAAAGGAATGGAAGTCAAGCATATCACTACAAAAACCATAAAACCACATGAAAAGAGAAGGAAAGAACAACAACAACCCAAAAAAGCCATAAAACAAGAAACAAAATGGCAATAATTGCATCCCTATCAATAATTACTTCGAATATATATGGAGAAAATGCTTCAATTAAAAGACATAAGGTGATTTGATGGATAAAAAAACAAGACACATCTATATTCTGATTTCAACCAATTCACTTTAGGTCTACCGACACATGGAGACTGAAATCAAAATGATAGAAAAAAAGTATTTATCATGCAGATGGAAGTGAAAGGAAAGCTGGGGTAGCAATACTGGAAAAAATAGACTTTAAAACAAGTATTGTAATAAGAAACAAAGAAAGACACTACATAATGATAATCACAATAATCAAACAAAAAGAAAGAGTTGTAAATATTTATGTACCCAACATGGGAACACCCAAATAAATAAAGCAATTATTAACACACATAAAGGGGAAAAATATACAGTAATACAGTAATAGCATGAACTTTGACATCAGTAGAGACAGATGAAGACACCAAACTTATATCAATGGATAGATCTTCCAGATAGGAAAATAACAAAGATACAGTGGTTTTGAATGACACATTTGACCAGATGAATCTAACAAATATACTCAGAACACTGCATCCCCAAACAGCAGAATACCCTTTATTTTTAAATAAGATCTCCAAAGAAGAGTATTTTATTAAGTTTTCAATATTAATTCTGCATAGTTAACATAGTGTTTTATTAGTTTCAGGTGTACAATATGTGATTGGAAAATTCTACATATTACTCAGGGTTTAGCATGGAAAGTGTATTCTTTAATCCTCATTACCTTTTTCACCCATTCTCCCACCCACCTCTGTTCTGGTAACCATCAGTTTGCTCCCCATAGTTATGAATCTGTTTCTTAGTTTGTCTCTTATTTTCCTTTGCTAATTTGTTTTGTTTCTTAAATTTCACACATTGTTTTCTTAATTTCTTTTTCTGCGGTTTCAATTAGTGATATATAAAAATGCAACACATTTATGTACATTGATTTTGTATCCTGCAACTATACTGAATTCGTTTAGAAAGTCTAGCAGTTTTTTGGTGGAGTCTTTTAGGTTTTCTATGTATAGTGTCTTGTCATGTGCAATAAGTAAAGTTTTACTTCTTCCTTACTGATTCGGATGTCTTTTATTTCTTTTTTGTTCTCTGATTGCTATGACTGGGACTTCCAGTACTATTTTGAATAAAAGTGGTGAAAGTAGATATCCTTGTCTTCTTCCTGACCTTAGAGGAAACGTTCTCAGTTTTTCTCTATTGAGGATGTTGTTAGTTTTGGGTTTTTCAGATATGGTCTTTATTGTTTTGAGGTGTGTTCCTTCTAAAACTTCTTTGTGGTGGGCTTTTTATCATGAATGGATGTTGTATTTGACAAATGCTTTTTTCTGCATCTATTGAAATGATCATATGATTCCTATCTTTACTTTTATTGATATGTTAAGATGTTGATTGATTAGTGAATATTGACCCACACTGACAACTCAGAAATAAAACACATTTGATTGTGGTGAATGATATTCTAATGTATTATTGAGTTAAGATGGTTACTGTTTTATTAAGAACTTTTGCATCTATATTCATCAGGGATATTGGCCTGTAGCTTCTTTTGTAAGTACTGTCTTTACCCCATTTTGGTATCAGGAAAATGCTTGCCTCATAGAGTGAATTTGGGAGATTTCTTTCCTTTACTACTTGTTGGAATAGTTTGAGAAGAATAGGTAGTAACTCTTCTTTAAGTGTTTGGTAAAATTCACCTGTGAAGACAACAAGTCCTGGACTTTCATTTTTTTGATTACTGAATGAATTTTCCTCCTAGTTATCAGTCTGTTCAAATTTTCTATTTCTTCCTGTTTCATTCTTGGTAGATTATATGTTTCTAGGAATTTATCCATTTCTTCTAAGTGGTGCAATTTTCTGGCATACACTTTTTCTTTTTGGGGCATACCCTTTTTCATAATATTCTCTTATAGATGTTTGTGTATCTGTTGTGATGGTTCTTTTTGT